CATGGGAAGGGGGTGCTTTATGGTGGGGTTTTTTCCATTAAAGTGAGATAAAATTTTTAGCTACTCTTAGAAAGACATTGAAAAAAGAGAGGGTCAGACTCCAGGTATGATTTTGCCAGTGCTGTGGAGTATGGGAATCCGTGAATTATTTATGTCTGACTTCCCAGTATGTTCCCAAAAGGCTGGTTGTATTTTTCCTGTTCATCTGTCTATGATGGTCTAAGATTTTAATTTGATTCTCACAGGAGCGTGTATATGCTCTGACTTACAGGATCTCACTTGTGTTTCTGTGACACCGATAGGAAATACTGTTGCTGTGGTGGAAATTAAATGCCGCCGGTTTGCGTTGTAGTTACTCAGCTATGGGGTACTCTGTTAAGCGCCTTAATTTTTATTGTTCTTGTCGTACTTGCTCGAGTTTTCCTTTTGTTCTTAGTACTGAGCTCCCAAAAGTGTGGGTTGAAAGGCTATCAGCTTATTTTTTGAGGAAAAATGGAAAGAATCAAGTAGCTTTCCTAGAGAGGAGAAGAGCAGAGCAGAAGGAAAGGCACAGCGGTCATCATCGTGTGGGATAATGCTTTTCTGAAGGGGGCTCATGGAATAATCACTTTTCTGTGTCTGTGCTGTATAGTCAGGAAACACTAAGCTTACACGTGTTATGGTAAACACTAAAGCAAGTCTTCTATCAGTAAGGACAGTGGAACCCCAAAGAGAGAGAGGTGGCCAAGGGAGGCTGCAGCGAGGGAAGCTATGAAGGACTGGTTATGCATTAAGTATCCAGAACCACTTAGGAAAAAAAAGTGCCTTGCCTAGAGATTTGGTAGTGCTCTAAGGACTTGGAGGCCCTTCCAGCCTTATTTTCTGTAATTCTACAATACTGGCAGTTTGAAGTCCCATTAAAACCTGAGAATGTCCAATTTCTTGTACTGAAGAGCAAGCTAAATTAAAAGGTATGCGTGCCCTGAGCAGATGGGCTGGTGCAAATGCAGGCCTTCGCGGTGTTGGTGTTTGCTGTTGAAACACTGATTCGTGTATGATTTTTTGAAATATGAGTACATTTGGTATGGTGGCTTCTCTGTTGCTCGTGAAAACTCATTCTATATGGTATTTCTCATATGAATTTGTGTAATGAAGAAATGTTAAAATATAGAATGTTAACAACTCCGATGGATAACACCACTATGTTATAGATTCAATGATACTAGCTTACTAAGTGCAATTAGCTGCAATCTTTACCCCTTGAACAACTGTAGTAATAAACTGAACTAATGAGATATATGTTAGAAATTACATTCTCTGTCCAGAAGAAATATTTCAATAGTTGCATAAAACTTTACTTTTAATGTCAGGGATATTTGTGGTGATTTTTCTGTTTCTAGATGAACAGGACATGCAGCATGCCTTGTTTTCTTTTTTAAGGTCTTTATTCTTTTTTTCTAAGATACATATTTTAAAAAAAACCTAAAAGTTTGGAAACATGCAGTGGTTGTAGAAGATGAGCTACTGTTCTGTCCAGATTTTGAGTCTGTTTGAAGCAAGTACAGTTTATTGCAGCAGTTTGTTGTGTAATCAGATTTTTTTTTTCCACATGAACTGATACTTGCAAAATTGTACATTACTGAAGCAGTTCTTCAAGTATTCTTTGGTGAAAACAAAGTGTTTACAAAAACTTACAGACTAAATATTAAAATTTACAGTACGAAAACAAGTTCAGAATGGCGGCAGGCAGCTGCTGCCTGTATCGCACGGAGAGAATTGTTTTGAACACACAGAAACTGGTGTTGACTTAGCAGTAGCATCTTGTTGGTCACAGAGTGGCTTCCATGTTGACCATGTGGCCTTGCTGTCCCTCTCAAATACACTTTAAATATTTTGGGGTGTTTCTTTGTGCTAGGGCAAGCATTTTGTGTAGCAGATAAATTTTTTTCCAGCAACTCAGGCAAGCTCATTTCCCCCCATCTTCCTGAAAACGTGACAGCAACAGAAAGCCACCGTGCCACAGTGGGCCTTATTTGGGTTTGCTCTTAGGGAATGTCACAGGCTCAAACTGGTCTTTGAGTCAAGCAATTTCACTTAATTAGGTATATTGCCAATTAATGTAAGGTTTAAATTACTAATTCTGGTATTGAGAAATAAAGATGACGACCAATTAAATGAACACACAGAGAAGATGCCTCTCCCCATCCTGGTGTCCCATCCCCTCGCTGCCTGTTAGACTCGGTCCCTTTGGTGAGGTGCTGGGAGAGGTGCTCCAGCATGGGTCAGCCCTGCAGCAGCTGGGCCCCCAAACACGCCCGCCTACCGAAACCCGGCCAGTTCTGCCTGACACGGAGAGGTGCGCTACGGCAATGAGGGTCAGAGGCCTTCCCGGACGTGTTTGGGTCTTCCCAGTCGGGCCCAGTAACCGTGTGCTGGGGCACGGAGCTGGAGGTGGGGGGACCAGGTGAGTCCTCTTAATTTTTTAGGTGAAGATGACAATTTGCATGGACCTCAAATGGCAGTTACGTGCAGAGCTGGGAGCAGGACCAAGGAGTTTGTGAATGCTAGTCTTGTTTAGTTCGGGGGGTTTTACTTCCTCGGGCCAGCGTTTGTGAAGCGGCCGGTTCAGTGGAATGGCCCTGCCAGGGGTGGGGCGGCCCTTGGAGGAGCGTGAGGGCGAGCGAAGCAGGCAGAGAGGCTTTTCCACAGAGCGTCTTC